CTGGTCAGAAAGAAATTGTGAAAATAAAAAGTTTGTTTAAATAAAAAAAAAATAGAAAGATCTCCTCCCCCAGGACTCCCCTGTTAAGCATAATTACAAAGCATTATAATGCTGAAAGTCCTTAGCTCAGCTACACACACACACACTCACAGACACAGGCTGTTTTAATCAGCGCCAGAACAATTACTATAATCAAACTGGAGCACGTACACAGTTTGATAAACCTCTGCATGGAACAGGAAAATCCAGTTAAAGTCGAGGCAAATATAATATAAAATATTAAAAAAAGATATGAATATTTTCAATATTTTAGATGATTCCAGTTCGAGTCCCTACTGCTCCTCATGGGGTGGTTGCATTGTGATGTGGCATCACCCAAACAGGTGGTTGAGAAACCGAGGGGCAGGGCCCCCTCGGAGTGCATGCAGTTATTGTCTGGGGCGCAGCGGGCCGACAAGTTTTTAAACAAGAAAACATCAAACTGTGAATGTTTATTTAGAACACTGATCGATATTACAGTCTAAAACTGAGGGTGTTTTTGTTCTTGTCAGTGTCTTTAATCATCGGCCTTGTTCTTCTGAGAAACAAGACTAACATTCACAAAGGTCTTAGTCGTTAGCGAGCCGCACTATCTTCATGAATCGATCTGAGTTAGCGTCGGGCTGAGGATCGATTCTCAGTCTATCGTGGTCAGCTCTGTCAATACTCAACTTTTATTTCCTCCCCAATTCGATCAATGTCAGGACACGTAACATTTTACTGTGAATGATTGACACCGGGGAAATATGTGACATCTGCTACACGAAGCTTGGTGCCGACGGATAATTCACACGGATGTGAATGAGAGGATGAGACAATCTTATTTTAACAAATGGCTTTGATGCTCCTATATTAAAAAGAAAATACAGTAATTTAAGGATTTTATTGTTGTTCGTGACAACAGGAGTCAAGCAGCAGAGGGGGTGAACGTTGTCCTGCAGGTCATTAAGCAAGGTAATTAGTAAACAACAATCCCAGTTTTGACACCTTTTAAAACTTTTATAACAGAACAGTTCTAACTGAGCAGATGGATGCTGGTGAACCAGTGTGGTTGTTCAGCTCCACACTGAAAACCTGAGGTTCTACAACACAGCTTCTCGTCTAAAAATAAAAAAAAATCTTAAAAATCTCTCCTCACTTATAACAAAGAGACAGACAGCAGATCAACCAAGTTATGTCTGACCTTGAACTGGACAAGGGAGCTGGTCTTCAAAGCACAACATTCATTACATTTTTCTTATGTTTATAAAAACCTTCATAGAAATATGAAGTGTTTTTTTTAAACTGCTTTGATTGGTTCTACCTTGGACCAGACCAGTTTGTTGATGTCTTTACTGGATCAGACTGGTTTGATCGGTTCTACCTGGACTACACTGAATTGTTTTTGTCTTTAATGGACCAGACTGGTTAATGTGGGCCCAAACATGATCAGACAGATCATCTCCCAGACAGAGTTGTGTATCGGCGATGATTTTGCTTCTCTGCTGGTTGTGGGCCAACTGACTAATCTGTTCATGTGGGAGTAGTTGTTAGAGACAGTGACTTCATTGATTCACCCATGTTACTCATTGGGATTAGAAAGAGTTTCTTTGAGTTTTAGCCACAGCATTGTTAGCATCAGCATTAGCTGCTGTAAAAGCACAATTAAAAATGAAGTGAAAACATTTGGTCTACATCCAAAAAGACAATGAAGTTGTTAGAAATCATGACTGTTAATCAACAGAGGCTGAAAATTGGGATTGCAAAGATTTTTTGTTTGAGTTTTAGTCACAGCAGCAGTAACAGCAGCAGCAGCACAGCCTTGGAGGCTGTGACGGAGATGTTTGGTGTCAGTAAATAAAGCTGTTAGACAAAGTTAACAGGCCTATAAAGTCAGTTACCCACTGCAGTAAATGTAACTGGATGATGGTCCTTGTGCAGTTTAGCTGCATGTCTAATACACACTCTGTGTTATTACTGTTCCACTCACTGGTCTCTCAACAACCTGAGCCTTTTTTATCCTTTCACATTCATCTTGTGTGTGTGTTTTTTTTCTCTTTAAATTCAACCTGTCATCAAAGATGTCAGATCTGGGCAGTAGAGAACAGACAATATGTTCGTGGAAGGATGGAGCAAATGAATCCAATTAGAATGGATGAGTTCTTTGTTCAACCAGAAGGTTCAACTGTGAGATAAACAGATCAATAAAAGTCATAATGACTGCAGTGAGAAAGACGACCTGACGGAAACGGTAACAAATGACCGGAGACATATTTGTCAATTACGCTGAGGTCAGCAGTGTTTTAATTACACCTGGATTAAAAGTACAAGACCTGTGACATCAGGCAGACCACAGCGGCCGATGACAGATAATGGATCATGGTGGAGAGTAAACGACTAACACGGCGTTGGTTCATCCGCCCGCTGAATTACACAGCACATCTCTGACCTTGGCTTCAATCCCAGGCCTTCAGCTCCGATTTTTTTTTCTCTGAGCAATTAAAAAAACAAACACTGTGACCTTGGTTCAGAGAATGAGAGAGAGAGAGAAAGAGAAACCACATCTTTGTGCTCATCAATGCATCTCCCGAAGATCAAACCTCAAATTAATTTTTTTTTTTTTTTTGCCAGCAGACTCTGTGATATTCCCTGGAATTTTATGCTCAACTGGGATTCTACAGTGTGACTGTTTGAGGGTCCAAACTTTGGGATATCTAAGTTTATTGAAGCCAACAGAAGGCTCCGGGTGTGATACCGTCTAGTCCCTAAATCCCAGACTGGGTCATGATCATTGTGGTGATCCAATAAGAAGAGAAAAGTCAGGTGATTCTACCACCTAGACCAGGGGGAGTATCCAATGCTACCACTACGGTGATCCCTCCTCCTTTTAAAAGTGTGTGAATGTTCCAGCTTCAAAAAGAGGCTCCGCCTCCTGACCCAGGTGATCATCATTTATCTGATTAGTGCTGGAGAGTTAAACTTGAGAGAGAGATGACACTCATCGCCTGTGAGTTCAGTCTGACTGTTTATGTGTGATGAGTTACTGCAGTGGAAACAACAGTGATTTTTGCTTCTAAATATTTTTGTCCTATGGTTATTGTGTGGGAAAGACATTCAGAGTTTTTTTCTTCAGTTTTGTCTGTTGTTTCAATCGTCCAGGTCAAATTTATTCTTCTACCTCCTGTTTGCAGCTGCTTTTGACAAATCGGTCTGGAGTCTGCCCTTCTCCATTTTCTCGGGTTCAGCCTCACGTTCATTATTTTTGATGTTCACTGAGGCAAAAGATGTTTACTAATGTTTGAATAAGTCTGAGGCCTGAGTTTGTTTTTTTTTGTTTTTTCATATTATAATATGTTTTTAAAATTGTTTTAGAAAGATTTCGTAAGTGGCAGCATCAAGGCCCTCCTTGCTCCCGAGCTCATGCTGCTGTTTTAAAGCCCAGGGTTTGTCTGTGAGGCTGCCATCAGGTCTTAGTTTGAACTGCAGCCAAACACAGTGTGTTCGTAATATGAAGCCCACTGCTGGTCTGCAGCTGTACCGAAATCTAGAATTTTCATTTTCAAAGAAAACTTTGTAATGTTATAAAATAATATATTACTGTATGTGATAGAAAAATACACACAGACACAATGTATCCATTTTAATCTAAAAGAAACTGTAGTGCAGTGGTTATCAACTACCTTGAGTGACAGAGGTGATATTTGGCACGGTATGTTGGTCGGGGGAAAAAAAGACCAAAAATAAAAACATTTCACTGCGTCCAGCTCAGCTGTGAAATGAACATCTGTACGTTTTTGTCTAATAATTTACACGTTCACACCAATGCTGTTTAACAACATTGAAAATATAAAATAATGAACAATGCACTGAACTACAACTATGTTGTTTAAACGAAAGTCAGTTTTGAAATGAGTGACAAAAGGATCTTCTGTTTCTGTATTTTAAAAAAACTGAATGGAAGTCAGAGAGAGAGAGAGAGAGAGAGACAGAGAGACAGAGAGTCTGAACTCCGCTGTGATGGTGTTTGACTTCAGACCATCCAAGGGGTGGGAACCTGAAGGCTTAGGAAATGAGCAGGTAACCTGCCTGCAGGAGAGTCACTCCGACAGAAATAGAAAAGCATGAAGAAGATGGAGGAGCCTCCTCCTCCGCCTCCTCTACCTCCTCTTCCTCCACAGTCATCCCTCCTGAGATAACTTGCCTGAAATGCATGCCAAGGAAATGTCAAGTCGAAGCACTCGGCTGAGTCTGAGTGGGATGGAAATGTAAAAATGTGTATTTATAACCAAATATGTCCTCCACCTCTTTGGGAATAGAATTTATTACGGTGAGTCACAAGATCATCCAGGAGAAACCGGATTATTCTTAGTCTTAATTTTACCACTAACCTAGTTAATGATTTACCAAAAAGCAGTGTAAGGCTTCAAGACCAAGAATGAGGGAGTGACTTAGTCAGTAAATACAAGGAATACATGAACGTTTGACTTTGATACTGTATCTGTATCAATTATTGCATCTGGAAAAAGTGTGTGTGTGTGTGAAGTTATAGCTCTGTCAAGTGTAAAGTTTTCAGGAGGAGGTTTACAGAAGTAAATGTTGACTGACAGGAGATTTTGTTAGCGTTCACATCCACAGTCCAGCCCTGGATCTACCAGAAACTCCACCACACTATGAGAAAGCAATTCAACAGAACCCTATAGAACAAAAACTACACCGGTCTCCACCACTGAAGACAAACAAGCTTCACTGAGATGACAGATGTTCACCTTGTTTTTTCTTTTCTGCTGACAAAGTTTCATCTTAGATGAAATGTTGATTAAAGCAAAGATTGACATCAAACAGGGCCAAGAACTAACGCTCATCTGTTCCCGATGAAGCCATCAGGTTTCACCCGGAACTCTTAGCAACAGCAGGAAAGTAAATATTCAGCTCTGGTTTTTAACTTTACACAGTGACAATACCGGTGGTGGTGCTGATCATACCTCACACTCTCGGGATCCTGAGATGGTGTAGGTGCAGGGTCCAGTGCCGTTCACCAGGACATCCATGGCCTCAGAGTTGGAGGGTTTATAGTCCACATAGTACTCCTGCAGTGGCGAGCTCAAGGTTTGTTCTGTTTCTCGGGCTTTCTTGCGACGTTTTCGAGCAGCTGATGAATGCTCCTGCAGCTGCTTCACACTGCTGGGATAACGCTTCCACGACACGTAGATCACCAGCAGGATCATGGCCACCGACAGAAAAAGAGCGACACTTCCAGCTACGATCTTATGGAAAGACACAGGTTCCAGGTCGTGTTCTGGTGGAAGTGCCACAGGCGGGGTGACTGCTGAGGATGAAGAATCTCCTGCAGACCCATCTCCTCTCTTTGCAGATCCAGTAGATAGGGTCAGCAGGACTGGGTGTCCCTCAGTTTGCACTGAAACTTTGGGGTGGATTGGAGTGGGACTTCCAGTCAGCGTTTCCACAGCGCTTGTCTGACAAACCTTAAAAGCGTCAACAGCATCCATTACCTTCTCACCTTGGGCTTTCTTTGGCGAGGCACAGATCATTGTGGTTTCTTTTGCTCCTCTAAAATTCTTCAACCAGGCCACCAGGGGGCAGATGTTAGGTCCACAGTCCCAGACATTTCCAGCCAAACTGATGGTGGTCAATGAGATCCAGGCGTCCACAACCTCCTGGGACACGTTGGTCAGCTTGTTGGAATCAAGGTTGAGGGTTTGAAGATTAGGCAGGCATTGGTAAATCATAGCATCTAACTCCATCAGATCATTTCCAGACAGATCCAGTTTTTGGATGGAGGCCCAGGTCCAAGTCAAGCCCTGGTTCATGGAGCGGATCCGATTCCACTGCAGATAAAGAGCCCGCAGGTTGTAGAGACGAGGGAAGTGAGAAAAATTGATTTTGGAAAACTGGTTATGTTCCAGGTGCAGCTCCGTGAGCTTGACAAGGCCAGAGAGAGCATTTCGAGTGATACTGCGCAGCCGGTTGTATCCCAAATCCAGGAACTCCAGATTCCTGCAATCTTGAAACAGACGCATGGGGATGACCTTTAGAGAGTTTGATCGTATGTGGAGACTGAGAAGTTTCCTCAAACCCTGAAACTGTCCTGGTTGCAGCGCCTGCAGTTTGTTATAGGACAAGTCCAGATTCCGTAAATTAGGAACTGGGTGGAATGTGGTGTTGTGGAGCATTGAAATCTTGTTGGAGCTCAAGATCAACTCTTTGAGCCTGCGGACTCCCTGAAATGCCATTCCATCCACACTGGCAATGTAATTATGGTCCAGGTAGAGCCAGATGAGATGATTGAGGCCCAAAAATTGTCCGGCTCGTAGACTGGCCAAACTGTTATACCGTAACGAAAGACCTTCACAGCCTCCAGACAAGTTCTTGGGGACGTCACGGAAGGCGCTGGACTCACAGTAGACGATCTTTCCATCACAGCGACAGCTTTTAGGACATGGACGCTCACTAAGAGATGGACTCGCAGCCAACCACACCTGCATCAGGAGTTGGACCAGGAGCCAGCGATGCCGCAGAGCAGATCCTGCAGAAGGAGAAACAGATTAAGAGTTGATGTTTACAGATGTTCTACAATGGTATTCTTAGCCAAACCCTAACCCTTAGGGCATTTGTTCATCTTGTTTATTCAAAATTAAGTTTGTAGTCATACAAAATGATATGACAACCATAGATGATGTTGATCCCAAGATCCTGAGAACTTCAATCTAACAGGTCAAAGAGTCCTCGAGGAGATGACAATGTGAATTTATCAAATGTCACATTCCTTTTTAGATTTGGTCTGGTTTTAAATCACTGAACCACCACAAGAGTTCAGCAGTAATGTCTTAAACTAAAGTCTAGCGCAGCAGGATCCTCCACTACCACCACACGGCAGGAAAACATAACGTGTTAACGCACAACAACAAAAAGAGCAACTTAATGCTTTTCCTCATTTCCTGCCAGTAGGTTTAAAGTGAACGTTAAGGTAAAGTGAAAAAAGCGGGATGGGTTCTTCATATCAGCCCTTGTTCTGAGCAGAGACAGAATGGTTTCCATTAGAATCGTTCCTCTTTACAGAGCCACTAATGACGTGTCATTAGGATCCATTGATTTTCCAATCAGGAGGAAGTGGGACAGAAATCCACACTAACTACCTGGTACTTTTTTAAAAACTATTTTTGAAGGAAACAATCACAAGCTCAATCTTTTTTCATTCTTTAAGCAATGACAAGATGACATCATCAACAAATAAACAC